AGCTGATAATTAGGAGGGCAGCGGCAGTTGATTCATCATCGTCAACAATTACGGCTGATCACCGTAATTGCACCGCAGGGTAGATACACCTCCCTTCATTATCGTGTGACAAAATACATATAATATTTTGTCAATCATAATAGCGTTCGCGGTAAAATTCGAATTTCCCCTCTCTCTCTCTCTCTCTCTCCGAAAATTATTCATTGTAAAATCCTAATCGCGTGCGTTAGTCTTTCGGCCCAACAAAGACTGTAGTGATTTTTATTAATTAAAGTTAGTTGAATTTATTCGTTGATTGCGTCATTTAATTTTCCCATTAGCTTAAGTAATTGTAAAAGGATTAGGTTTTAATCCGATTACATCTAGGGGATTAAGCGAATTAGACGTAAAGTCGCTCACGCTTGAAATTCATCGAGTATCATTAGGCACGTGACTTAAGGTGAGATTAACTCCGTTCAATAGAAGACAATTAAGCAAAATCATTTGACGTAAAGGCGAATACACGTACAATCATACGTGTTTAACGGAGCGGCGGTTTGCGCTGCATCGTGGGAGTTTGTTCTTAAATAAATTTTCCATTTTTCAGATAACCTACCCTGTTACATAAGTCATTAATAAAAAACCATAAAAATGACATGTTTTTCAATAATTTTTTTTCATTTGCATTAAAAACATTAATTATACTCAAATAAATTCAAACGTTGCGGTCTTGTCATAGAAGTAAGTGTACTTTTTTTATCTTTCGCAATTTTGAATAATGAATAAGCTATAACATTATTTACATAAAAAAGGCTTAATTATAAATTGTCATAAGATTCTCAATAAATATCGTACAATGTTCATCGACATCTCGTTCGATTTCTTTTGAGTTATAGTTTCCGAATCCTATGGGACACATTGTTCTTTCTATTTAATTTTTATTGCAAAATTGATGTCAATTAGGTAATAATTTTAAATGACGTTTAAAACCTTCTCTCTTTGCCGGATTTTTTCACAGCAATTTTCAATAATATTTTTTTAAATATAGATCATCCAAATTATAGTTTAAGCCCACAATGGACTCTGTAGCTTTATTAGGAATGTAGTTACGATTTTTTTTTCGAAAAATCGCAGCGCGTTACCATTCCATTTCAACATTTTTTTTGAAGGAGTAGCAAACAAAAATATTAATAATTAACATGCTTTTGAGGTCAACTAGCGTATGCTTATTGAAAAACATGTTATTTTTGATGGTTTTTTGTTAATAACTTATTATCTTATTTACCGATTTTGATGAGCGACCTTTCATTCGATATGGATTTTCAGTAGAAAAAGAGTTTGAATTATTTTTATCTAAATTCATAACCGGTTGAGATATTGGGAAAAAACCAATTTTTTAATGAAAACGCAGTATTTAAACAAACTTCCACACCTCTGTGATCGAGGAGAAATTGACAATTTGTTGAGCATCAACATTGGAACCGTTTCGTGAAATAAATTTTACTCTGGAAATTTGTCTGAAAATAACATTGTATAAATTTAGATTTCTTACACTACGTGGCCCGTCCGACCGAGTGGATAAGCATATTTCTCTGATCGGTTAGTTGACATAGTTTAAGAATCAAAGGTTAAAAAAGTTATTTTATATTTGGACAGCTATTTGATGATTTTCCTATTATTATATTAGTTCTACCATCAGTGTCATCAATAATTAAATTTTTGATATTTTATTTATTTTTATGTCTTTTATATGATATTGGCTAAAATGTTTAACTAACTTGATAAAAGCTATAACTTAAAATAATCAACGTTATTTTGAAATATCTAATTTAAGTTATATTTGAATAATCAATAAATGCTTGTATGAAAAAAGAACTCACTGTTTCATAACTAAATGTTATTATTATTCAAACCAGCAAAAATAAATTCAATTGGCAAACATTCAAATATCACTTATTATTCCAATTTTTTTTTAATTATATGAATAATTTCTTGTGAAAAACAAAAATTCTTACATCATTTGAAATAATGCAGAAATGCAGTTTGTCAAAGCTCTAAACAAAGATGGTGACTGTTTCGCATACTTGGGAACGAAATTTCCGGAAAAGAGCGATGCGAAGTTAAAAGACGGAATCTTCGACGTACCACAAGTTCGAACCTTATTTGCAGATTAGTACTTTGTTACGAAAATGAACGATACTGAGAAGAAAGCATGGATCAGCTTCAAAGCACTAGCACAAAACTTCCTGGGAAATCAAAAAAGTGATCAATATCAGATGCTAGTTAATAAACTGCAGGAGAATTACCAGAAATTGGGTTGTTTGATGAATTTAAAATTACATTTTCTGCATTCTCATCTGGACTATTTTCTCGCAAATCTCGGGGACTACAATGAAGGACAAGGTGAACGATTTCATCAGGATATACTGAAAATGAAACGTAAATACCAAGGAAGATGGGACATAAATATGATGGCAAATTTCGATTGGATGTTAAGAGGGATACTGAAACCAAAGGAAAGAAGAGAAAAAGAAATCCACTATACAGATCATTTGAAGAGACGAGGGTTCGGTACAAACGAAGAAAGTGACGAATTTCTAAAATAAGTTTACGGCTATTTTATATTCGTATAGAATCAGTTCCTGCAGATGCAGAGTAATTTTTTGACTATCAAAATTTTTCTTACCGTTACTTTACAGAGGAAACTCTTTTTCTTCCGAATTAAAATTTCTACATTGTGATAAGGATGAAGGGACAATTTTTTTTCAGACTGATGGAGTTGCAAGTTTCGAAAATTTTAAAATCCTGTTCTGCCACTGAGAGTACGTACAACTTTACTCTTTTCATTCAGCATTTGATACTCTGATACCATTGTGAAATTCAAAAACCTATAAAATATGCTCAGCACGTGAGTGTACGTGCAACTTTATTCTCTAAGCTTGGCACCGGATATTCCGATTCCGTTAATCCCCGCAATTTTTTGTCATGACAAGAATTTTTCCGTATTAGGGGTGGTTTTTTGAAGATTTAGGGGGTTGCATAGCTCTGACACCCCAAAATTCAACTTCAGCCCATTAAAATACAGATCTGTAGTTGTAAATATTACGCTGGAGTCCAACTTATCTATGAAAATGTGTTATAAACGGAAAAATCCAAGTTTAGAAGGGATTTTCTGAATTTTAGGGGTACTTTACCCCGATTACGAGTAACTGATGGGTATAGGGCCAATTCTGACGGTGGATTAAAATTCAGCGCACCAAAAAACAAGGGTATATAAGTGCCATCTTTGGAACAGTCCACTTTTTTTTCGTGTGCCTGGGTATTTGATCAAATTACCCCCAAATATGTATTTCATATAGATTTTATTGATTTTTCCTCGATATAGCTCGGTTTTCTACATCCTGCGATGCTATATTGAATCTGTCATTTTGAGTTTCGAAAATGTGACAATGAATTTGTGTTCAACCAAATATGTATTTCAAATAGATTTTGTTGATTTTTCCTTGATTCAGCTCGGGTTTTCAGGTCCTGCGGCGCCAATTTCCATTTGAAAGACAGTTTTGGCCTCTGTGTATTTCTTTCTGCTTTTACTCAGACGTCTCATATACGACATAGCAGTATGTTGGTTTTTTTTTAACTCGTTGTGAATGTTGTTGGCTGTTATTGTTATAATAGAGAAACCGAAAATATTAGACCAATAAGCATTAGAAATGCATTTCGCAACGTTATAAAATGAATACGAAAGAAATAATGCTAATGAAATTCTAGAGTTGTATGAAACCCGACCCGCTAATAACAGATATGCCTAAGTGAATGGCCTAATCGATGGGCTCGCGGACAGTGGCGTATTTCTTAAGACCAGAAATCGCGAAAATTATGAGTATTGAAATTAAGAGTCATAATGGTTGTTTCTAAGAAACTGAGTGAGGTTCAGACGTGAGAGAAAATAATGAAAGCAAGGTGCCGATGCAAAAAAAGAGGTAGTCGAAGCAAATAGAGACACACATAAAGAGGAAGAGAACAACTCGGGCTGATATTTTTAACGAATGCACCGTCGTCTTGGATCAATTAATCTCTAGTCTTACTTTTGTTCACAAGTATTCGCCTCTCGACTGCCTGGATACAGGCAGAAATCAGTGCAGGAGTCGATTATGCAAACACGTACGATATATTTAAACTTTACTTAGTACTAGACAGACTTAATGCTGCTATATTGCAGAATGGTCATCAGTGTCACTAATGCGTACTTCGTGATGGCAAACAGAACAGGTTTTTTCGCAAAAAAAATAAAAGACGGCAAAATAGAAATTATACAAACATCAGTAAAAAGCTTATGTATTCAGCTCAATCTCATGGCTTAGATCTTACTTGAATAAGTTGTGCGACGCAGAAAAGCTTTCTACTATCTCTCCTTAGTCACGAATGGCACTGGAAACTGAAAACTAATTAATATACGCGCTCTTTTTCTCTCTCATTCTATTTTTTCAACGCTGATCAGTAATTGTCTGATCCTTTACTGTGCTCTCTTGTACTTATCTCTTTTTGCTGTTGAAATACGTATTTAAGTATGTAGATATAATATTTGTTTGGCTAGAGAGAGATATAACGAGTAGAATTCTCACTCATATCGTTACCGCTTCTACACAGAACATGTTTTGCTGATGTGAGTTCATAGCATCCTGTTACACCCAGAAACTAATGAAAGCAAAAAACGGCGGTTAACCTAGCATTGAGATGATAAATATGATTTAAATATACTCGTATATGTGCACATTATAGAAGAAATAATGGAATCGTTTAAAATAGAGTATACGGAAGTTCGACGGTAAAACTATGAACGAATTGAAAGCGTCTCGATTTTTTGCAAAACAAAATTGTTATTTTGCTTTTAATTAAGATATGAAGTTTATTTTTTCAAATTGTTAAATTATGCTATTAAAGAACTTTTTAGATAAAAGTTAATAACAATTAAAATTTAATTTTTTATGAATAAATTAATTGTTGCACTGTTGAAATTTCAGGTTTTATTCAAAAAAGTGATAGGAGATGCGAATTTTGGACAGATATCTTTATTTTTTTCCATGATTGGAATATGTAATGCAGCTTTACTATGGCCAATATGGCTAGTTTTATACTTTTCAGGAGTAGAGTACATACTTTGGATGAAGTTTCCTTGGGCTATACTATTCATAGCAAGTATTTTACATCTTGGTTAGTAATTTTTAAATATAAGGATAATTTTTTATATTTTTGAAATATATAGATTAACAATGTTTTTTTTAGTTGCAAACATGCTTGGAAATTTCAGTATTGCTGTAACCTATAATCTTTTCATAACTTTAGGATTAATAACAGCAGTACCTGTATCGGCTGGTAAGTAACTAACTTGATTAAAAGATATAGTTAAAAAATATAACTACATCGATAACTGCAAATTTATCGCTATATATATTTAGTAATTTCATTTATATTCAAATAATCTTCCTACACTAATTTGATTGATGTAGGAAAAGTACTGTTATTGTCGTCATCATTTTTACATACAGTTACATAATCTTCCATTTTTATAATAAGTACTTTGAAAGTTCTGATAGCACGATATAATAAAAATTCCTAAAGGTATATGATATGTTTCACAAGCACTTATATCTTGCTCACCGATAATTTTTATCATTAAATTCGTATATATATATATATATTGTACTTGTTCCCTAGTATCTCAAGACTATACAATTTTTATAAACATCTCATCTAAACTTTTCTATGCAGGTTCCTATTCAGAAGCATATTTAGTGATGTAATTAACAACAGCACATTCTGATATTGTTATTTCAAAACTAGTGTTAGCTCTTCATGTTTAAGCAACAAATGAATTGTATTGATTAAGTTTGTCATCATTTCTTTCTGGCATATAAAACTAGTGACTTCTTTTATTTTTTTATAATTTTGATTCTTGCTGCAACTTCTTGAGTATTCCTTTGAAATCGATTTAATAATTCTAAAATATTCTGTTTACTATTGATTTCAACGTCGGTAGAACGAATTAGCGAGGGATTGGGTGTAATGATACTGGCGATAGTGGATTAAAAACGGTCACTAGCTCATCATTAAAACGTTTTGCATTCATTAGTAATTCTTCAAATAAAGAGTCAAAAGTTTTCGGATTCAGGGTTTTCAAAATTCAAAGCTTTCCATGTACAGAATATGAACCCCGGTGCTGAAATTTATATCGAAATCAATAGTCAACGACACTATATCGTTTAAATAGTACATCTTCAATAAACTTTGTTGCATGAGAAGTAAAATAATCCCCAATAATTCGTGATCTTTCAACAATAACTTTTGTCACTACATTGCTATTACTTTTTCAGTAAGCGAATCTTCTTTTTAAAAATTACAACCCATGAGACGACCTAAATCTGGTTACATAAATCTGCTGCACTTAATGTAAAAAATGCTGTTGGTAAACCAATTTGGTTAACCAATGCTTCTAATTCTTTCCTTCTTTGAAACCAATAGAAATTAGAACTTAGGAAACTTGAGTTAGTTTCAAAGATGTCGAGAAATTCCTAGGAAATAGTCGTTATCATAGTTGTAAAATAATTGTATCTACAATATTAAAGATTTATGAAAAAATGAAATGCTTGAAGAATTTAAAACTACATTTTCTGACTTCACATTTGAAATATTAATTCAAATATAAATTTGAAATATAAATGGCCAAAAAATGTAGGAACATACAGCAAAGAAATGGATAAAAGTTTTCATTAAAATTTCTATTAAAATAACAACATTACCAAAGAAAATGGAATGAAAAAATGATTTCACACTGCTGTTGGTCTTTGAATAAAAAGAAAACTACCCATCTAGTTATAAATCAAAATCTCTTTAACAATTCTTTCAGACGAAACTTTAACGGTCTTATAAGAAATGAAAATACGAGGTCTGTCCGGCCTATCTTTATATTTTCGTGCTAGAGTTAGTTTTTATCATCTGGTGGGTGGCATCCTTCAAAGTAATCCCCACTTCATTGAATAACACGGTTCCATCGATGTTTCCACTTTTCAAAACAGTCCTGGAATTCACTTTTAGGGATAGCCTTAAGTACACTCGTCGCATTGTTTTTAATCGTTGTTTTGTCATCGAATCGGTGTCCTTTGAGTGGTTTTTTTAGTTTTGGAAACAGCCAAAATTCATAAGAGGCTATGTCGGGACTGTATGGAGGTTATCGAAGCAATGCGATATTATGTTTGCTCAAAAACTGCTTCACAAGATTCGATGAATGCGCTGGCGCATTATCATGATGGAGAAGCCAGTCACCACTTTCCCAAAAGTGCGGTCGTTTTTTTCTTACTGCATCACGCAAACGTTTTAAAATTTGAACGTAGTATTCTTTATTGATTGTTTGACCTGTTGGTGCATATTCGTGATGTACAACACTTCACAATCGAAAAAAACAATCAACATTGTCTTAACATTGCTCCGACTTTGACGTGCTTTTTTTGGTCTTTGCGATTCAGAACGCTTCCACTGTGAAGATTGTTGTTTTGTTTCAGGATCATAACCATAAACCCATGATTCATCACCTGTAATAACTTTTCTAAGCACATTATCATAATTATTGACCATTTCCAGATTGTCCAGAGCGATTTCTAAACGAATGTTCTTCTGCTCTGCTGTGAGCAATTTTGGGATAAATTTCGCACACACGCGTTTCATTCCTAAATTTTCGGTTAAAATTTCTGAAATAATAGTTTTTGGTATCCCAAGGTCTTCTTCTAGTTCTCGCACAGTCATACGACGATCTTGTTCGATTGTAAGTCGCACCCGCTTAATATTATCTGCGGTTTTTGTCGTCGAAGGTCGGCCGGAACGAAAATCACTGTCGACAGAAGTGCGACAACCCTTGAACCGTTTATACCACTCTTTTCTTTGTGTTTTGCTCATACACTCCCTTCCAAAGGCCTTTTGCATCATTTCAATAGTTTCCGAACTTGTTTTTCCGAGTTGAAAGCAAAATTTGATGCAAATTCGTTGATCTTGTTTTTCAGTCATTTTTGACAATATCAAATCCGACAATATCATATCCGACGAACGCGAAAAAGGCACTGTAAACGAAGACACGTTGCGCATGAACTATACGTCCGGCAGGTGTCAGTAAGTAACCAATAGATTCGTGAGGCTTTACTGTTCACGTTTCTGTCCGGTAGAGGTCGCTCAAACACTATGGCGCGAATATATAAACGTAGGCCCGATACTTTCCGGACAGACCTCTTATCTTGTTTAGCAAAAATTCCAAGTCGATATTCTAAAAGGATACCCCCCCCCCCCTCGTTAAGAGAGTCAAATTCCCCTAATCCGGGATCGGAAAGTCTTGTAACGGAGTGAATGCTTCGTTTTTATTCCGATAATTCGTTCGACGCGCAATCGTATCGAGATGCGCGCGGTGATATCGAAATATTCAAATTCATTAATCGGAGAGCAGGAGAGGACGGGAGTCAGTCAACCAACTTACTACTAGCTAGAAATGACAACAGAGAAATTATAATTTGAATCACATGCGAGTTAGTTTATTTACCTATACTGTACAATATACTTGGCCCGCGTATTTATGTTTACGAAGCGCGCGCGCGACAATAACATACACCGCCGGAGCGTTCGCAGCTCTTTGTTCGCAGAGTTAGCACATGCACGCTACCGATTTTTACCTAGTACGAGAGATTAGTAATTAGTTCCACGCAGTCATATGTAAAAAGTCACGATATAAAGCTGGCCAGCTTACCTTTGTATCGGTCGCACTACTAGAGGGGGAAGGAGACAAGTTCGTTTATCAGTCCTTTTGAAGGAAGCGATTCACACACGGTTTCGCCCTCGATGGCGAAACTCTGCACCCACACACACTCGCACATACTTATAACAGTAGCGACGACAGTACAACTTTTGGTTAACGTCTGAATAACACAGCTGACTCGCTTCAGCACTCTCGGAAAAACTCGGGAACACCTGTATCGTTAATATCTGCAGCGGGATGCTCGGATTGCTAGTCCTTGACTGATTCTTTTATATTCGCGCTCGTTCCGTCCCGTCTCATACCGAGTTCCCTTTTTCTATTTTCCCCAACCAGTACGTGCTGCCCTCGCAGGTAGCCGCGTGATTGAGACGGTAGTGCTAACAAGACGTTTACCATCATAGTCTATTCTACATAAAAAAAGATGAAGATTACCGTCAACCAGACCTTCCAAGACCACTCCTAAGCCATTATATAGTTAAAAAACGGTAATTTTCGTTTTTATTTTTTTTCTCCAAAATTAAAATAGTTATCGACACCGGATTTACGGCAATATCTTCTGTGGGCAGCCTAGTTATCTGTAAATTTTTTTCAAGGTCGTAGGTATAGTCCTTATAACCTAAAAATCTGTTTTTAATTTTTAAATCGCTGCATCTTTTTTTGGAGGGAGCTTCACGGCTGGATGTATCATCAAAATCTTCGTTTCTTGTAAACAATAAAAAGAAATAATGTCCAAACCGTATTTTCGTTGGCGCCATACTCAAATTTTCAATAAATTCGTTTTTTGGTCCTAGCACTTTTTAGGTTACATCTTTGATGAAACTATTGTAATAGCACCGTCATATTTTACGCAAAAAACGACATCGAAAACATGTATTTTATTTTGAGAAATAATTGTTGGCAACCCCTGAAAAATTCAGCAAGTAAGTCCGATCGGTTCGACTCACGGTGTATACATTCCACATTTATACTTATCTCAATTTGAAGGACACACAAAAGTTATTTTCAAAGTTGCGATACATGTTTTCGGTGTATTTTTTTGCGTGGAATACGATGGCGCTAGCTGTTTTATCATGGGACCTATTTAGAAAGCACTAGAGACGAAAAACCACTGAACAATTCCGTTTTTCGCCTCTTGCACTTTCTAGAGTAATCCTAAGATAAAACCGATTGCTTCATCGTATTCTACGTAAAAAAATACATCGAAATCATATGTAATACTTTAATCAGTAATACCATTATACTCGTACCATGAAAAATCAGCAATGAATCTCTTAATCTTCGTGTATCCGTAAACCTGTATATAACATTCGAAATTTTCGAATATACAGGGTGTCTCAGACCACCCGTCCACCCCCCAAAGTGTGCCGAAAAAGTTTTTTTTTTTCAAAAATTGATAACGCAATTATACAAGGTGTCAAATAAGTAACGGAACAAGGCTGTAGCTTTTTAGGTACAGATTATTAGACCAAGGTCAAGGTCATTCCTTTAGTAACTTTCAACGCGGAATCCGATGATGACCTTGGATTTGACCTTGAGATTGACCTTCAAGGTTATTTCAAGGTCAACTTTGTTTTTTTAAATG